CATGCTATGTGTTAGTTATCATGTAACTATTATCTTGTAGAGCCTCCTCAACATTGCTCTCAAAATAACCAAGATAGGGTTGATCGTACTATGATATTTGTGGCCAAATTTAATATAAAAAAGGCAACCTTCACATGACAATTATAAAAAATCATCACAATCATCACATGGGGTACCTTTTATAATATAATATTAAAATTGACTTAATATTCTTCATAATCAACTTTACAAAACAGATTTTTGTGAGTAATGCTGGAAAAATAAAGTGATCTGAAAACATAGGTTAAATGACATATTTTACAGCCGTTATGTGAACTTATGCCTTTCGATTGAATCAATTCGAGTATATCACACTGCGGCTGTTGAGTGTGACATATGGATCAAGTCTTTGAGAATTGCAATAGCTGATTAGAATAAAAATTTTCATTAAAATTTTTTTTTAAATATAATATTTTCATCCAATTATTTTAGCGGACAAATTTGTCTGCTAAACCGGACGGTTTAAGAGATAATTATTATATATCAATAATCGTTATTTATCGTTAGTAATATATATCGATATATAGCAGTTAATCGATATATATCGATAATTTTTAATCGATATATATCGATTAACTGCTATATATTGATATATATCTGCTTATAAATTTTGCTAATGAATTCTGGCAATATTTTCAGCTACAACAATTTTTAGATAATAATCTTGATCTCTTTATTTAGGAAAAAGGGCCTCTCAGACAAACCAACCTAGTTAAATACAGAATCGAAACTGGGAATGCCCTTCCAATTAAGCAGTATCCATATCATCATTCCCATGCTAAAAAAGTATTATCAAGGAAGAGATCACTCATATGATTTCTTAGGAGATCATATGTTCTTGTCAGAGTCTCTGGACTTCTTTCATCATTCTTGTTCCCAAAAAGAATAGGAGTATCTAATTCTGCATTGACTATTGCAAATTAAATGCTATCACAGTTAAGGATAATTACCTCCTCTCTCGTATCGATGACTTGCTTGATACCCTTTTGGGGTTCTCTTGGTATAGTTCACTCGATCTTGCTAATAGATATTAGCAAGTTGAAGTCGAAGAATCTGATCAGCTTAAAATCACCTTCACTACCCCCTTTGGAACTTTTCATTTTAACATCATGCTCTTTGGGTTGGCTAATACCCTGCCACTTTTCAATGGCTCATAGATTATATCTTCCAAAATCTAATTAGAAAATGTGTAGTTATTTATTTGAATGATATTAATGTTTACTCAAAGAATTTTAATGACTACTTAACCTATTTAGAAGAAGTTTTCTATCGATTAAATGACTCGGAGTTGAAACTAAAGCCTACCAAATATCATTTTGCTAAACAGGAGTTAAAATTTTAGAGAATTTACAAATAAGGGTTCAGAAAGTAAAAATAATTACAAATATAGACTCAAATTAAAAATAATTACATCTAATTTTTAAAAAATATTATATATAAGGGCCCAAAATAATTGTGATATTGTTTTTATAGCATTATAAATGTAATTATTGTTATTAAGTGCATAAAAAATATAACAATCAATTGTTAATTAGTAATTATAAATGAGAAATTTTTTTAAATTTAAAAAATTTTATTTTCTTTGTATAAATTGTTGATTGTTATAACAAGCCACTATGATGTCAAGTAAAGCATTTCAAATTGGCATAATATTTACTAATATAGAAGATATTCGTTTAGCTCTAGAGAGCTATTCTGTTGAAACTTCTTCCCCTAATAAATACTTGTGCTAGTTCATCCTATTTTTATACAATATTTAATAATTGGTATATAGATAATTCTAACAACCAATATTCCTATTATTGTGATTTTGCAATCGGTGTAAGTCAAATAGTCATATACTTTGTGGCACAATAACCCTATGATTATGTTTTTTTTAGCTATCAATAGATTTGGGCCCTTATATATAATATTTTTTAAAAATTAGGCCCTTATATGTAATTATTTTTAGTTTGGGCCTGTATTTGTAATTATTTTCACTTTCCGGGCCCTTATTTGTAAATTTCTCTAAAATTTTTAGGACACATTATTAGTAAAACTGGCATCGCCAATGACCCCAAAAAAATCAAAGCTGTAAGAAATTTTCCCATTTCGCATAATCTGAGACAACTTTGAGGGTTTTTAAGATTGGTTTTTTATTATTGAAGATTCATTCAAGATTTCACCAATATCGTAGTACCTTTGAATTATCTGTTAAAAAAAAGTATTAGTTACTAATAAGCAGAGGATCAACAAAAGGTCTTCGAAATTTTAAAAGAAAAATTGGTTTTGGCCCCTATCTTAGCTTACCCCGATTTTTCTAAAAATTTTATTTTTTTCACGAATACTTCAGATATAGCCCTAAAAGCTATTTTAGCTCAAAATGATGAAGCTATAAGGAACAGGTCATAGCATATGCTAGTCAAATATTAACCCTAGCAGAGAAAAATTATTCGGTAACTGAAAAAGAGTGTTTGGCTATTATTTGGGTGGTTAGATATTTTTGGCCTTATCTTTATAGTAATCACTTTATTCTATATACTAACCACTTTGTTCTCAAATTATTGTTCACTATTAAACTTCCCCAAAATTGTTTGGCCTGGTGAGTTATGACCCTCATAGAATACTCTTTCACTATGATATATTGACCTGGAAAACATCATTCTAATACTGATAGTTTAACCCAAATCTAAATAATACAAATAAGTCAGTAAAAAAAAAAAAAAATAATAATAATAATATATATTTACTTATCTTACAAATCTATTAATTCAGTCCAGATTCCGGTATCCTGGCAACCTTTTCTCTTTAATTCTTAGTCATTTTATACTTACCTTTTCTAAGATTACTTTTTTTTTGTAAAACTTATAACCTTAATTAAATCTGCGTTAAAAGTAAAATCTGTCCTTGTTACCAAACAAGAATATTAGTACATAGATATAAAAAAGATTTTTTTTATAGAAGAGGAACTTTATAATACTTATCTTGAGTATCTTTGCAACTTAATTGTTTCATCCAAGTATACTAACAAGCAAATTAAAGACCTAAAACACCAAATCTAGTATTATATAATAATCGAAGGACTTTTGTATAAAACTGCCTAACATGATCTCTCTTGTTCTTCTAGGGTTCTAAAAAGAAATGAAATTAAAGCAATTTTATTTAATTTACATAATAATCTGCTTTCTGAATATTTTGGGTTTTAGGCCATATACCAATGTATAGCTACTCGATACTACTGACCACAGATAAGCTAAGATATTAAAGTCTATATTCAAACATGTGATGCTTGTCAAAAGAAAAAGAAGCCAAATACACAAGATCCCTTATCCCCATCCAAGTAGGAAAACCTTTCAACTGTGTCAGAATAGATATCGTAGAACCTCTCCTGGTAATTTCTAAAAATAAGAAGTATATCATGGTAGCCACTGAATATCTAACCAAGTGGTCTAAAGCTAAAGTGTTAAAAGTAGCAGATGCCAAAAGTGTTGCAGAGTTCCTTTTTAAAGATATAATCTGTCAGTATGGGAGTCCTAAGGAATTATTGTTGGATTAGAGTATTTATTTTCATAACAAACTCATCACTGCTTTAAGTAAAAAAATGAATTTTACTTACTACACCTCCACAGTGTACTATCTACAGACTAACAGATTGGTCAAACAATTTAATTGAACTCTCTGTGGGGTTTTGAATAAGTGTGTTAATCAATTCAGAAATGAATAGGATGAGTATATAGACCCAGCTCTATTTGCCTATCATACAACCAAAAATTATACTACAGGTCATAAACCTTTCTTTCTTTTGTATGGTCGAAACATTATCCTTCTGTTTAAAATAAGTGATCAGGTTCTTTTATACCGATCTGAGTTAGCTATATCGTATAATGTAAATTAGAATCTCCAAATACGGGACTCTATTATATTCATGATGTACTACCCTATAGGTTGTACAAGTTATAAACAATAGATGATCATATGCTCAAGAAGAAGATTCACAGAAACCGGTTGTCATGCTATTACTCACGACAACAATTTTGTAAAACCCTCTTGGAGTATGCTCGTGAACCGTAAAAGCTTTATAAATATTCTTTATGTGCCCTCTCGCTGTATAACCATTATCTTTTTTTCTTTTTTCTCTCTTCTTCTTTTTTTTCTTTTCTTTCCTTCTTTTTTTTTTCTGCTCAGTGTTATTATGTCTTTTGAAATTTCATCCCAAATTAAAAAGATCTTAGTCACTCTAAGAGAACAAATAGAAAATCAGATTTTGAGAGAACTTTTCTCGTCTCTAATGAGGGAATGGTTTATTTTGCAGATCAACAATCACAGAATATCAAAATTGAAGCACCCAAATGAAAAAGTGATGCCCAAAGACTGCACCATCGATTGCCCCTTTTTCTAGAAGATCTTTGACAAAGTAATTCTAATAACTACTGGCTAGAAGAACCTTTTGGAACTATTTGAGAAGACAAGCTCATCCACGTGTATACCCAACTTGCTTTAGGTAGCTTCTACCATGCAACTCAATTACCATGTTATTATGCTCTTAGATCATTATTAGAAGAAAAAGCATGGAATAAAGAAGCAAAAAATCAGATTAAGCAATTGCTCTCTCAAAAATACTAAGATATTTTGGTAATTGCCCAACAGACCTACCTTTTATAGTCAGGGCATATTTTTAATTTGGTTATCGATAATCTGCATCTTATTTAGAAATGATTAACAGTTAGATGATTCTAGAGTCTTTGCTTGAATTATTCACTAATACTGCTATCAAATTTACTCATAATGAAAGTTTTTTTAACTATGGTCGATTAACTGAAAAATCATACTATTAGTGTTTAACACCAGTATACTATGTAACACCAGTATACTATGTAACATAAAATCATCAAAATAAAAAAAAATAAAAAATATATATAAAAAATAAAATAAAATAAAAAAAAATACAAAAATATTTTATAATTTTTTATTTATTACTGTTATATCTTACTACTGTGTTAATAATTCCAAACCAAATTACCATGCTATAAATTCTAAATCTAACTACTATACTACTAATCTAAATATCATACTATAAATTCACTAATCTACTACTGTACTATCTGTCCTGAATCCAACTCTACTGTGCTATCTATCCTGAATTCAACTCTACTGTGCTACCTGTCACAAATTCAACTCTACTATGCTACCTGTTCTGAATTTAACTCTACTATGCTACCTGTCCCAAATCCAACTTTATTATGCTATATCCAAAAAATCTAACTCTACCATGCTATGTCCAAAAATCAACTCTACCATACTATCTGTCCCAAATCCAACTCTACCATGCTATGTCAATAAAATCCAACTCTATTGTGCTACATCCAAAAAATCTAACTCTATCATGCTACATCCAAAAAATCTCTCTATCATACTATATCCAAAAAATCTAAATCTACAGTACTAGTTCAAAAAATCTAACTTTACCATGTTATATCCAAAAAATATAACTCTACCATGCTATGTACAAAAAATCTAACTACTGTGCTATGTCCAAAAAATCTAACTCTACTATGCTCTACCTGTCCTGAAGCTAACTCTATTGTACTACAAGTCCCAAATTTAACTTTATTATACTACATCTAAAAAAATCTAACTCTACTATGCTATGTCCAAAAAATCTAACTACCATGCTATGTTCAAGAAACCTACAGTACAAAAGAGAAAAAAGCTTTAGTTTTAATGAAAAAAGTTTAATAAACTAAAAAAAAACACACTAATAAATAGTGATTCTACAAACAACATCCCAATAGTAATGACAAAGCTCACAAGTTCGCTTGTTCTAACTAGCAAATTTT